AAATGAAAATAAAGCCTTTTTAAACATTTGCATGGTAGAACCAGAGGCTGCTTTTCATATTAGTGACAAACAATAACAATAACAACAGCTTTTTGACAAAATGTTTAAAAAGAAACTACAAAAATAAATTTGATAAAAGTGCAATGTAGCTGTATCTGCAACTGTATTTGATGATGTTTTGAACTTTTAAAATATTACATGGTAGAACCAGAGGTTGCACTTCATGTTAGTGACAAACTTTGACATTTTTTGATGGGTTACCTTCATTTTTGCTTCTGCTTTTAATTTAAAATAGGTTTCCATAGCAGGTTTCTAAAGTTCTCCTTCTACATATTAAAAAAAGTTGTTAAACATCTGAGTGGTGCACTACTGCTACTAGTGGTGAGAAAGTGTATTGCACCTTACTCAAAATCAATGGGGTCCCACGGCCCTCTGCAGCCCAAAGTTAAAAACTGTTGTTCTTTTGAGGCCCTCAAGGTGACGCTTGTGGCCCACAATTGGGGCGCGGCCCACATGTTAAGAATATCTGGTTTATAGAATCTCTACATTTTCAATTAACAAAAAAGTATGCTTTAAGCAACTTAATATTTACTCAAATTTCAACCCATTCTCACTCCCAAGTCGTCACATATTGACGCTTGGTCAGGTTCCCTCTGTGTCCGGTACCCCCTTGCATCAGTTATTGACACACCAGGCATTTCCGTGTTCCCTCTGCATCTGGTTTTAACGTGTCGGGACACAAAATATAGCGGCCTTTGAGTCGGGGTCCATGATTAATATTAAGGATCAGGGTTAATGGTTAATTTTAGGTAGTGAGGTCAGGGACATGATGTCTAGGGCGAATATTAGATAATTTTAGGATTTGGGACACATAGTTGACTTGAATTTCCTACACTTTCTAAAAACGGTTAATTTAAGGTAGTGGGGTCAGGGACAGAATGTCTAGAGTGAATACAGGTAATTTTAGGCTTTGGCACAGTTAGTTTTTGTGCATTTCTRCACTTTCTGAAATTATGACAACTGATTCCACCCCATCTCGTCAATAACTGATGCGAAGGGGTTACCCGACACGTCAAAATAAGATGTAGAGGCAACCTTTGAAAAGCATCAATATGTGATGAGTTGGGAGTGAGAACGTGTTACATATTTGTAATATTTACTAAACAAACCAGGATGAGTAGAGTACCTTTGGCCAGAGGCTCCACTATGATCTTCTCACTGTTRTTGCCATGACCTGCAGCTGTCACAGCCACCACCCAGACACTGTACTGCCTGTTTCGAGCCAAGTTTGGGATCCTGTAAAAAAATGCATCTGGAGAAGCTTCAAACTCACTCATCACCTGTGAAACAGAAGGACAGAAAAGATTAATGTATCACTGAATGGAACCAGAATCCAGCAGAGCAGAAAGCTGGCTTTTATTTAAATTTATACAAAGCACCTCAAAGTAATACTTGAGTAAAAGTAAAATTACTATAGTAAAAGTTAAATTTTTCTCTAAAAATGAGTAAAACCTTAAAGTATTTAACATTTACTATACTTAAGTATCTAAAGTACATTTCTGATGTAAAATGTCCATAAGTATTAAAAGTTAAAGTATTGAGTAAAAGTGAATAGTAATGGAAGTGACCTACCAAAATGGTTTTTTTTTTACTAAAGGGTATAATACTGTAATAAAAATGTTTATGTTGAGAAATTTGGGCTGCAATGGTCTGCTTCATCATCATATACTGTACATGCAGCCACGATCACCTTCATACTCAGCTACATACGTCTGATATGTCCTGCTGGAGTGTCAGGTGATTTGTGACGTGCAGATATGATGTCAACCACCAACAGAAAATTGTATATTTTTATACTTCTCATTCAACCACAATGAGAAGTATGGAGCTTTTCTATGGAGGAAGCAGAGTCTGAGGGCTTTGGGGCTGCTTTGTCCATAACTGGAGCTGAAGTCACTGAGGTGGTTAAAAAGCTTCACGGCAGCAGGGCTCCAGGGGTGGATGAGATCCACCCTGATTTCCTCAAGGTTCTGGATGTTGTGGGGCTGTCCAGATTGACACGCCTTTGCAACATTGCGTGGACATCAGGGGCAGAGCTACTGGATTGGCAGACTGGGGTGGTGGTTCCTCTCTTTAAAAAYGGGGACCGGACAGTGTGTTCTAACTATAGGGGCATCATTCTCCTTAGCCTCCCCGGTAAGGTCTTTTCAGGGGTACTGGAGAAGAGAGTCTGATCGATAGTCGAACCTCAGATTCAGGAGGAACAATGCAGGATCCATCCTKGCCGTGGAACACTGGACCAACTCTTTACCCTCAATAAGATCCTCGAGGGGTCATGGGAGTTTGCTAATCCAGTCTACATGACTTGGAGAAGGCATTCGACCGCGTTACTCGAGGTACACTGTGGGGGGTGCTATGCGAGTATGGGATTGTGGGCCCGTTGTTATAGGCCATTCAGTCTTTATACAAGCAGTGCGAAAGTTTGGCTCACATTGCTGGTAGTAAGTCAGACCTCTTCAGAGTGGGAGTTGGACTCCACCAGGGCTGCCCGTTGTTACAGATTCTGTTCACAATGTGTTCTGTTTATGGACAGAATTTCTTGGTRCAGCCAGGGGGCGTGGGAGTTTGGTTCAGTGGCCTCAGGATTTCATCTCTGCTGTTTGCAGATGAATGAGGTTCTGTTGGCGTCATCGCGCCAGGATCTTCAGCTTTCACTGAAGCGATTCGCAGCTGAGTGTGAAGCAGCTGGGATAATGATCGGCACCTCCAAATCTGAGTCCATGGTCCTCAGTAGGAAAAGGGTGGATTGCTCTCTCCATGTTGGGGGTGAAGTTCTGCCTCAAGTGGAGGAGTTCAAGTATCTTGGGGTCTTGTTCACGAGTGAGGGAAGAATAGATCATGAGATTGATAGACGGATCGGTGCAGCTTCTGCAGTTTTGCAGACTCTGTACCGGTCTGTTGTGGTGAAGAGGGAGCTGAGCTGTAAGGAAAATCTCTGTTTACCRATCAGTCTACGTTCCTACCCTCACCTATGGTCACAAATTTTGGGTAGTGACAGAAAGAACAAGATCGTGKATACAAGCAGTCGAAATGACTTTTCTCTGCAGGGTAGCTGAACTCTCCCTTAGTGATAGGGTGAAAAGTTCAGTTATCCAGGAGAGACTCAGAGTAGAGCCACCGCTGCTCTTCCACGGTGAGAAGAGCCAGTTGAGGTGGTTTGGGCATCTAGTAAGGATGCCTCCTGGATGCCTCCCTAGGAAGGTGCTTCAGGCATGTCCAACTGGGAGGAGACACAGAGGAAGACCCAGGACATGCTGGATAGACTATGTCTCTCGGCTGGCCTGGGAAYGCCTTGAAGTCCTCCCAGAAGAGGTGGAAGAGGCTGGGGAAAGAGAGATCTGGGCCTCCCTGCTAAAGCTGCTGCCCCCGCGACCCAACTTCAGATAAAGAGGAAGATAATGGATGGATGGATGAATAGATGGATGGATTCAACTCCAATTAAATTTACTCCATCCAGGACGTGCCATCAATCTGGCTAGGTTCTTATTTTTTTAACATTAACAAGCCAGAAGGAAAACAAGCTAATGGATATGGAGTAAAGTCTTTCTAATTATTACTGTTTAAAAAAAATTAAGTAGCAGAAAGTACAGATAATTGTGTGAAAATGTAWGGAGTAAAGTTATCTGGTATATAAATACTATTACCATCGGATGCAGGTTAGAGCAGAAGACGATGTACTTCCTGATGATRCCATTGAGTTTGAGCGGAGGCAGCCAGGAGACGAACACGGCCGAGCTGCTGGAGGCAGCGGCCTTCACTCCTGCTGGAGGACCAGGAACTAGAAAAAGCAACACAGAGACAAAATCTTAGGATATGCTTTCTAATAATAACTAAACCCATGGATTTTTATACATTCAAAATGTCGGACTGTTCCCCAACTGTAATTACCACACTTATATATTGTTCTTTTTTTTTTTTTAAAATCCAGGAACAAATATATAAYGAATATGTAGAATACAGACTGAACAACACTTCAGGAAAAAGTTACCTGTGCTCCTAATGAATCTATAGTTATTACAGTTTAAGTCTTTAATACATGTTCTTTTTTTAAAACAATATTCCAATTTAAAACCAAACAGGACAAAAATTCTTATACTTTAAGCCTACACTTATACAWAGCACTTAAAAAATAATAAAGTTCACAAGGTGAAACAGGAGGTAAAATGTATATCTTCTATATAGAGTATTTTGAAGCAGTTCATGCTTGTCTGAGCTATTTTTTCTTTTAGTTTTAGGAAAATGGACAAAGAAATAAAGTCTGGACAAACAGAAGCATCTCATACCATCCTCCTTAGTGCGGACATAGATCTGTTCACTGCGGACACCGTCTCCAGCGTTTGTGAAGGCCAACACTTGGATGCTGTAGTTGGTGTATTTCTCCAAACCATCCAGCTCCAGAGACGGCTGCCCCGTGGTCACATTTCTAATCTCACCCAGTTCTGACACACAAAAGGAGGTGTGTTATTAGGTTTGAATATAAAGTTGTACTGACTGTAGAAAAGTGATTTATTCTCTTGGAAATGTAAATTTTAACAGCAAAATTTAAATTGCTCTCATTAATAAACCCAGCCAAACAAGACTATGTATTTTTTTCTCATTCATTTATTTCTTTACAACCTGTCAATCTGAATTAAAGCAATTGTCATAGTGGAAGTTATCATGCTGCTTTATGYRTTTTAAAATATTTATGCAGTGAATCCAGACAGCCTGTTACACATTCAAAGGAACAACAACCAACAATTATCTTTTCTGAACATTTTTTTATTGTTGATCAGCTGAGAGCAAGCACTTTGTTTACCAATAGGGCTGAACACAAATCAAATCCAACTCAGTAAATGTGTAGAAAAGTCTAAAAAAAACAGTTAGGAAAACAACAAAGCAAATGCTCAGTGACAAGAAATAAACAAATCCACAGCATCCCCTAGTGGGAAGATGAGAAAACAACAACAACAACAACAACATCTTAAATTCTGTGTGGGAACATTAGTCAGTACCTCCGTCAGGCAGGTTGGCCCAGTAGATCACCCTGTAGCCCTGCAGGTTTCCATTTAGAGCCTCTCTGGGCAGAGGCATCCAGGAGAGTGAAATCACCTCTGGAGATTTGGCCACAGCCAAAACGTTTTCAGGAGGTCGAGACGGCACTGTCAAAAGCAAGAAAGGAGACAAACCTTTGTTGGTTCAGGAGCATTTATTTAAACATGTAAAAAAAAGGGAAACATGTAAGACAGAGGCATCACTTCATTCCTGTTTATATTACTTTCATTGTCAAGTCAACAGCTAATCTGAACACACACAGGACAATTATACTATGGATGAAATTTAGCTGTTGTGCTAATTCCGGCACATTTATATTGACAGAATATTGATTAATGTGCATTGTCCTTTTAAATAAATGAAATGAAATGAAATGAAATATTGTTGCAGTCACAACTGATTTCAATCTAAAAATAAAATCATGGTTCTTGTGAAGGCCCTGTGTCTATTTGTGAAAATTTTGTCAAACACTGTAGTTAATGTTCTCGATGTTAATGTTATAAGTAAATATACATAAAAGATAGAATTAAAAAATCTACTGAAAGCCTCGTTTGAACATACACACTGTAATGCTAACAAATAGACAAAATATATAACTTATAGGACTAAATCATTACATTTTTAAGCATTAATTGTCTAAAAGATTATGATAGGACAAAACCTTAAATGGCATTTATTAATTTGTTCCTTTTGTGCTTTATGCTTATTCATCTAGAATTTTATGGTTGCCTGTAAGAGCAAAAAGCAGCAGCAGCTAGCTGTAGCATGTTAGGTGGAAATTGGGGTTTATTCAGCAGGAATATCTTATAATATTTCTGTTTTAATAATCATGTGGTCCAAAACTGATGGAAGTACAAAGGTTTACATAATGTCATGTTATGAAACATCAGCTTTTCTTATTTTGCTTGTCAATCCTGTCAGAATTAAAATGTGTTTCTCTAAACTGAGGTTGTTCAAAGTACCATCTACATCAGGTGAAATTTTAATTGTTTGTGAAATTTCCACTGAACCCTAATTAAAAGATCTGTACTAAAGACATTTGCTTTTAAAATTCGATCCAGTTCAACAAATAATATTCAATATAGATGTTTTACTCTAATGCAGTGACAGARGTTTAATTCACTGAGCATGTTAACGGCTCCATGCATGTAACAGAGTTACAGAAGTAGTTAAGTTTTTTAAATAATTCAGAAAGATGTGGACAAAAAATATTGTTTATTTGCAGTTTTCTTCTCCCGTAGTTCTCTATAAAAGTCATTTCTTTTTTGATTTTTTTCATTTGTGTTGTAAAAAATAAACAAAAACAATAAATCAGATAGTATGTTTCTGTATCTAAGACAGAATAGTCTTAAGGATTATTTAGTTTGAGTATTCGCTGTACTTYAAATTATGTCCACTAGATGGAGTCCTCTCACAATATTTATTGCAAGTTTCTCTGATTGACTGTAGAGAGGAATCTTTAGTTAAATCCTAACACACAGTCGTAGAAGCTAAGATCAAGTGTCTACAAACCACACAAGCCCACCCACATCCTTAACTTACCGTCTTCCAGGGTCTTGGTGACCACCTGCTGTGAAGAGGGTCCTGTCCCTGCTCTGTTTGCAGCCTGGACCACCACGCTGTACTGCATGAATTTCTTCAGATTGTCCAGCACGATGCTCTCTGTGGTGTCTCCTGTCGTGTCCACGCTGATGATAGTAAACTGGTGACTCCCACCAGGACTGTACTCCCTGTAGCCCACCTGGTAGCCGCGGATCACGCCGTTCTGCAGGTGCTTCTGGGGAGGCTGAGGAGAGAGGATGGAGATAGAAAACAAGCTCTGACAACTCTGGTATGACAGATGCATAATCATTTGTTATTTTATTTTATTTTATTTATTAATGCCAGAAAAGTAAATGTTGTACCCTCCAGAGAACTTTGATGCTCTGTGGAGAGRTGGGCTCCAGAGTGACATCTTGTGGTGGGCCGTCAGGAGCTGAAAAAACATTATTTCCATCATTGCAGAAAAAAACTTCCACTGGGTGATGCTGTTGAGCTAAGAATGCACTTTTTCCTCAAAGGTTTTTGTTCAATCTGAAGCCTTCGTCTCAAATTAATGTTAATAAAAACTTGTAACATCATCAACTTGCCYCTTAAACTATGTAAGAATTGATATGAGCTTTATTACTTCACTTTAGCAATAATTTTGACTGATTGCACTATTTTAATGTGCTAAAAACGCCAAGGGGGGCATCCGTATGAGGGATTGAAGATCAGTGAACATTTACGGGGCTGACTCAGAATGAGTCTGAGTTTAAAGCAGATCAGCCTCATTTTCAATAAGCACAGTGGTTATTTGTCAAAATGCATCTGTTGATCTTTTGAAAAGTTTCTCCACTCAAAACAGAACTGAGTCAACTTTATAAACGATGAAAGGCATGCAGGCAACGGATCAGTCAATTCAAGACAAAATCAATTTCAGTAAAACCTTTGGAGAGTCTGATCATCAAAAATYATTTCATCCACTTCTGTTTCTGCTCCTTCACTGGAATAAAGGACTATTCCTACTAATGTACCCTGATTTATTTTCTTATTATCTGTTTAAAAACATCACATTCAGCAGAGAAACTGATTATTCTTGTACATTTCATGGCTTCAGGTTTCAGAYCTGGTGAAGTTTGTTTCTCTCAAGCCAACAGGGGCGGTAGAATCAATGACAAGAAGTTCACTAACCTGCTTCATCAGTGGTGATGGTGAGCTCGTTGCTGGGATTGCTGTTGCCGATAATGTTCTTGGCAACCATGCGGATGTTGTAGGTGGAGGARGGGTGGAGGTCAATGATGGTGGCTTGGTTCAGCTGAGGTGACACATCTTTAGTTACCTGGGCTGATAACCATGAAGCTAGAAGGATGGAAATAACAGTGAATGGGTAGTACATGATGGTAAAATGATCTGTTTCTGGTTTGCTGCACATTTTACTTTACATACAAAACCAYAAACAGTGTTTGTTTCATTTTCTCTCTTCCTCTTCTTACCTGACTTGTTCTTGCATTCAATGTCATATCCTGTGATGGGGCTGTTGCCATCAAAACCCATGGTCCAGCGAAGAGCTATGGTGCGATCCTTGACCTCCCGGATCTCCACCTCTGGAGGATCAGGTGGTTCTGAGGAGACGTGAACACATCCGCAAATTTAAAGAAGCYCTGCAGCAAATCTACTGAAATCCTCAGCATCACTTTTACTCTTCGCAGTGACACACCAAAGATTCAGGAATGACTTTCATAAGAACAAAGTAATAACAATTATTTTTTATTATTTTTTTATTTCCCCCAGAGAAGGTTTTTATCCTGCCCCCACTTCTCCCCAAGTGTGAGGGAAGTTGAAAGTTTACCTTGCACTGTCAGCTGTATGATGCCTCTGTCCTCGCCGAACGAGTTGATGGCGTGACAGGAGAAGAATCCTGAGTCCTCACGAACAGTTGGCATAATCTGCAGAGAAACACACGGAACTCAGAGGCTTCAAAATAAAATGTCTGGAGCAGTCGAAATCTGAATCAATGTTTGTATGCAATAAAATTAAGAGGAAGGCAGAGCCCTCCATCTGAACCCTGAAGGGACAAAAATATTTACTTTTACATCAACATACTGTACTTTAGATTTACTGCATTACTATACTACTCACAAACGTAAAGGATATTTGTTGAGGTTCTGTTGATCAGTTGTTAGGTGTTGTCCTGGCTTCATATGTCAATATTAATTCATTTATACAGCACAAAAAACAACAAGAGTTRACCAAACTGCAGAAATAGRACATAGGAAACACTGACTTTAAAAGAATCTCAAACTCGACCAGAATGAAATGCCAGGGAGTAAAAATGAGTTTTAAGCAAAGATTTAAAAGTCTCGACAGTCTCAGCAGTCCGAATGCTAAGAGGTAAACCATTCCAAAGGTTTGGGGCAGAAACTGCAAAGGCCCGATCACCTCTAAACTTCAGTCTAGATCTAGGAACATCTAAGAGAAACTGGTTGGATGACTGAAGTGCTCTAACAGAAGTGTGGATGTCAATGAGATCACACAGGTAGGATGGGGCCAGACCCTTTAAAGCTTTAAAAGTAAGCAATAAAATCTTAAAGTTTATCCTAAAATGAACAGGAAGGCAATGRAGAGAAGCCAGAACCCAAGCTGGCTGCTCTACCACTCCACCACAGCCGCCCTGACAAGCTCTTTGGATTAAATCACCAAGTTGTTGGAAATTCAAATATTTATATGCTCAATACTGTATATACATTTTAGAGTTAATAAAAAAATGTAAGTAAATCTGGTTTATTGTAACTGAAATTGATAAATATGATTGTTTTATTTTATTTTATTTTTTGGTAAATGTATGTTTTTAGATTTTTAAATGTGTTTGATTTTGTGCTGTGTAAGTAAAATATGTTTTGTTAGTGAAAACAAAAAATGCATCTTGTGTGAGCAAGTATTTTGTGTTACTTGTTTCAGTCTTGGTGAAGTGATGGAAACAGGTCTGAGACAACAAACCAGGTAAACCATAAAGACATTTTGTACAAAAAATGTGTTGACATTACTAACATCCGTTAAAACAAAGCAATGCAGGTGGATATGAATCAGTGTCATTATGTGGAAGATATAAAATACAAGTGACATGTAACCCATAGAGCAGACAGGTGTGGGCCAGATCTGGTGTCAACTGGCACTGCCCGTATGGCAAACGGTTTGTCATTTGGATGTGGGCCAGATCTGGCAATGATGACATTGTTTTCAACATGGCATCCCACAACTGGCCATGTTGTTTGATTTATGTGGTGCTGGCCCATGCATGGACCACCAACGAAAATCACATCTGGGTCACCTAAGGGCCATCATTCTTTGCAGTTTGTGGGGCGAGTGTTTGAGGATTGTGTGGGCCAGAACTGGGCCAGACAAATTGTGCTGAGCATACACAGCAAAAAAAGAAAAAGAACAAATAATAAAAAATCCTCAACTTGTTATGTTTATGTTATGCAGACACATTTTTATTTAGATCACTGATGTGTTGCCCTGGTTGTTTTTTTCTTTTCTTCTTTTTTTAGTATTGAAGTGTTGAACTCTCCTCACAGACTCCAAATGTTTCTGATTCCCAGTCCAACTGAGCACTCACCACCAGCGTGGAGATGACTTCATCAACCACTTCCTTGACAGTAACCACGTATCGGCTGGTCTCGGGGTTGATGATGCGCTCCTCTTTCTCCCAGCGCACCATGATGGGTTTCTCTCCGTGAGCGATGCAGCTCATCTTCTTCTCCTCGCCCTGCGTGGCCAGAGTGGTGTTGGGATACGAGGTGATCATAGCTGGGACTGGATGAAACACAGCCGAAACAAAGTCTGTAAACATCTTGAGCAGCCATATTGTATCTTCAGGCAAAACAAAAAGACGTCGCATTATATTTAGCAAAACGCAGCAAAATTGCATGTATTTTTATTTCTTTTTTTTATGTTTCATGCTGAGAAAACTCACACTCTCTTTTAGGTGATAATTGTGACAACTATTTCAACACTCCAGGGACCATGGTGAACTTATGCCTGTCTCTCTTCTGTACCTGGAGATTGGAAAAGGAGCCCTTAAGGTGAACCTGCGCCTGCTTTGATAACGACAGCAAACGGAAACAGGCTGCTTTCTGAAGATGAGGCAGAGGAGCGGAGAAAAAAAAAGCTGTGACTCCTGCGTGAACTCCCATCAGTCTGAGCGTGTAGCCGGTCTGACTCTGCGCCGTAACCACACACCGGGCTCATTAGCTACACATCCAGCTCGTACGCAAGTGCGTGTAAGCGTGTGTGTGTGTGTGTCACTCGGCAGCACCAGTTGTGAACATTTCATCTGCAGTCACTACTCGCTCACATCTCATACGCATGCTTCCTTTCAGTCTGTCTTTTTTTTCCCTTCTTCCTCTTGATCGTAACACTCAGAGACTCTCAGGTGCTGTTCTTAGTGTRACGATCTCAGAAGTGACAAAATACAAATTACACCCTATTAGCTCATCAGGTTTTCAAAAACAAACAAACAAAAAAACACTTCCACTTGTTTTCTCAGAGGAAGAGCAAAGTCAAAAATACTACACAGAGAAGGTGGGATAGTTTATGAATCCAGTCTGATTTTAGGTAAAAATACAAATGTCTCTATTTTCATTTGAAATAGTTCTAATTTCATCTCAACAAGTCATCATTATTTAAGAAGTCGCTGATCTCCTGTGCGTGATGCAATCTGTGCTGTTAGCTCGGGCTCAGCAGAACATTTGTTGGTGGCTGCTGCTGTGAATAAGATGGGAAATGCCATGAAACAGAAATATATTTCTCAGTGACAGCTTCTGATGTGCATTAGGCTGCAGCGGTGAAAACCTGTCAAATTCTGAATTTTAGCCTCCGGCTGCTCTGATATGCCTGCAAAATGACTTGTAATAGCCATGTTTGCAACACCACTGCATTTCTGAAATAGTATGTATAGTAGTTGATGCTGCGCCTGCTMATAAAGCCTCTCTGAAATAAAAAAAATAAACTGCAAAAGGACAAGACTGAATCACATTTGAACATTTTGTTTAACTCTTAWGAGCAGCTTTTCTATATCAAACTGCATGATGAGTGCGTCACCCTCTATGGGCTGCTGCTGATAATGACTAGATGGAGACGAGTCTCCAAGGTGTCTTGAAACATTCGCAGAGTTCTAAGATTAAATTATAAACATGGTGTCCGCTGMCAAAGTGTGAAAGCAAGCTACGGTGGCAACAATTTGGATGGAATTGGGCAAAAAAAATAGTGTCCATGATAAATAGTGCCCTAAATGATAGTTTTGCAAACAGCACACATGAACTGAATCACAGCCACATAATCTGATCATTTGCAAAAACCTATAATTGAGTGAATCTGCAGCTGTCACTAACTGGTCTCTGATGGTCACAGGCCAGTGAGATTCTTCTACTGCCAATGTTGACGTCTTCTGTTGAAAATAGCTTATGTAGTGTTTTTAATCAAAAAAAATGGAGCTGGGAGAATGACACRGTGTAATATATAAAGAAAGCAAGTATTTAAAAGCAGCTCACACTGTTAGTTTGCTTTTATTTTCAGAACACAGAGGCAAAAATCAACTGGTTGAACASAATTTGATGATTTTAAGCTTTAAAGTGAGTGGTTGATCCGACGTTCAAAAATCTGCCATTTTATTTCCTGTTTTAAAAACGTGTCCTAAGTGTAGATGTTTTTATTAACTAAAAAATTTAAAAAAATCTGAGTTAGCCTACAAAATAAATACACTGAAATAATGTTTCTGTTGGGTTTTGTTTGTACAAATATCACTGACCTCAGGGA